AATATTCGATCTTCTAATTGGTTTGGTTGACCAAATTGGACTATGACCCATAGGACAAAATGTTTTACATTACTTCATTTTGACCATAAAATGACTTCAACTTTTTTCCCCACTTACCATCATTCGACGTCGGTTTGTAGTAAATAAGGCTTGGTCGACAAAACTTTTAGACCTATTAGAAAGTCAAATAGAGGTAATTTTGCCCAGTTTTGCTGCTTGGGTTAGCGTAAAGTAACAAAGCCTATTTTACTATTTATTTTTTTTATATTTCCATTTTTATTAAGATTGTTTCTACGTATAAATTTTCTACGGAATAACTTACAGCAACTATGTATTATTACACATATGTNTTTCGGCATGTGTCGCAGTATGTAACAATATACGCGCGTAAAGTTGCAGAGTTTTAGCAAGAGTGTGCAAAGATTCTTCAAAATAGTATTTACATGTATCATATATATTTCCACGAAATAAATTTCCAAATTTTGTGTATTTATTTTTTATGTTTAATATAGCGATATGTAACATTATACGCAGGTAAAGGTGCACAGTTGCAGTTTTTAGCGAAAACNTACAAAGGTGCTTTTTTTTTATTTTAGTGCGAAGTAATCTATGTAATATATTGTTTTCTAAAAATGCTGAGTCACAGAATTAGAAACCGCACAATTTGTACATATGATATATTGTAACATAAGACGCAGTGCAAGCGACATTGTAGGTAGGGTAAGAGAGAGAAATAACAAAGATGTAATATTAACTACAAATTTTATTCAGCACACAATTGATAGATATTATTTACACCAGAGGCGTATTTAACGTCGGTGCAACCGGTGCGATGCACCGACGGGCCCCGGAATCTGCGGGCTCTCGGTGCATGATAAACATTTATAAATTTATAATATTCATAACATTACATATCGGAGTTGCAAATGCCGAAAGATCATTTAGTGTATTAAGGAGACTTAAAAGTTATTTAAGAAGTACCATGACACAGGAAAGAACATCTGATCTAACTTTATTATCAATAGAAAAAAATGTTTTGATTAATTTAAATTTGGAAGATGTTGCAANCAAATTTATGTCGGTTAAAGTTCGAAGAGGTGTTCGTTTCTAAATTTGCATACAAATGAAAAATCATTAAAAACTTTTGTTCAATTGCCTTTAATAAATAATAATAACAATAATAATAATAATAATAATAATAATTATTATTATTATTACTATTATTATTATTATTATTATTAATTAAAGAGCCCTCTCATCTTTGTCCTTGCACCGAAGTTTTACCAGTCTTAAAAACGCGCCTGATTTACACGCCTCGCGCACAATATCTTTTACTGCACATGCCAACAATTCGCAATCTATGATTGCGTTATTGTCATACACTCCACTGTCACATATCGCTTTTGCAGCGTTGCATACATCAGTAATATTCTGTTCTCGTAGAACGCGAACAAAGTGCGCAAACTTTGTGTTTACTACATGAGTGTGTTCAGCCAACCAGTAATACATGTTTTCAATACATGAATTCAAAGTTAACAAGAATTTTACGGTCGGTGGTTTCATGTACAAACACTTGTCGTTTAATGTAAATTTAACAATTTGTGCGTCGCGAATAATAACGATATTGAGCGCTAAATCGCGAAGCCACACTGTAGCAGATGCTTCTGTCGATTGTAGTAGTTGGTGAATATCTGTCTGCTTCTGGATGATCGTTTGCCATGTAGAAAATGGTAGAAGCATTGAATTTCCATGATTATCTCCGATAATTATCTCCACATAAGAAATTGGACCAACACTTATTCCAATTTCAATGTGTTTGTATCCTGTTGACGTTAGCGCGTATCGTCTTTCCAAAATGCGAGTTGCCTGATGTGGTGAAGACGCAGTTTGTACACTGTAAAAAACACAAGTAAATGACGTATGTGTCAAAAACAAACCAAAAGCCAAGTAATGTAACAGTTTACTTACTTGTTGCGTGCAGTTTTCATCTCGCTGTTGCACTTTCTGTTAGTATACATTACGTTTTCTTGAACCACGGTTAAAAGTCGAGTAATGAGATGTCACGTAAAAGCCTTCTTAAATACCGCCTAACCCCACCACTTTATTAGAAAAAATGATGACATCAAAATTTATGACTCAGAAACACGCTTATTTTTGCAATGTTTACATATCGAAATAACAGGTGGTCCAGACGATATCGATTTGTTGAAAATTTATCCTACGGCAACCTCGTGTCCTGAAGGATGATGAACTTTTATTAGACTGCTACGTCTGTACATAGTCTATCTGTTTCTGTTTAGCTCTGCGATTATTTTATACTTGTAAGTGTGCATGAAACTAAAAGGTACAACCATGTCGCATCAAGATGCTGTTCTTCATAACGGATCATGTTGCATATAAACGTGTCGAAAATGTGCGAATGTATTCATCCAAAGAAGTACACGAAGCAGACGAGAAATCGGACGAAGATATTGGCATATTGCGGCAGAATGTGTTACTTTTTATTGTTATAGTAGGTTTATATGTTGTTCTATTTGTATTACATTTTTTACTTATAATATCTTACTTCTAATGTTTTATTTACAATAATTTGTAATATATATTGTTCTTTTTATATTGCTTATTCTTATAACGTTGTGTATACATTAGTATATAATAAATGTATTAGTTTGTACAAATGATTTTTTTTATTATTACAACCTGTTGTCTAATCCAACCCAGATTTCCTTTCGATACACAGAACTAGAGTAAGTAATAAAATATGTATACTTCATCATTGTTATTTCTTGTCAAAAAAACTTTGCAACTTAGTCATATTTGTTTTGCTTTGCACTGCGTTCTACACATATAATATGAAATTGCAATTCTGCAACTGTCTCGTCTTACTCGCTTCACACCGCGTTCCGAAACATAATATGTATAATCACACATACAAAGAATACAGTTGGCAACAATGCGCTCCAGGAGCTTGCCCGCCTCGTCGAGTAAACAAATCGGCCGGTACGCGGATGGCGAGTCCGCAGGCCTTCCTTCTTTGCGGAGCAAAATTAGTTTAGCTTGCTTCCAATCTGGGGGGAACCAGCTGGTCCTCAGGCAGTCTGTCAGGATCTGGAATGGCGACTCTGAGGGCCTTACGCGCGATGCGATAGTTCTCGTAGGCCGCCTCCGCTGCTCGAATTGCCTCGTCGCCACGATGAAGTCGGCGGCGGGCATGCGTGTACCGGTGGTGGGCTCAAACGCTCGCCCTCCGGAGATCGGCTATCTCCTCCGACCACCAGTACACGGACCTCCGACTCGGTGGCCCGCGAGAACGTGGCATGGCCGCGTTGCAGATCATGACCAACTTCTCGCGGAACCACCGGAGCTCCGCTCGGAGGTTGCGCGGCCCGGCCGGTGGACTTGGCCAGGCCGCGGTCTGAGCAACGGCGGACAGGAGTTGTGGGTCCAGTTGTCGGAGGACCCACCCCTGAGATGGGGGTTTTCTTCTCACCCCGTGGCGGCCACGAGGGTGGTCAGGGAGCGGGGAGACTCTCATAGTAACATACCGATGATCGGAGAGGGTCTCCATGTCTACCCTGACTTGCCACTTATTCACACGATGCGCGGCAGACGGAGACGCAAAGGTCACGTCTATTATAGACCCACCGTTGCGCCGTACGCACGTGTGATGTGTTCCCTCGTTGAGTACAACGAGGTTGCACGCCGCCACCAGCTTTTCAAGGGCCTTTGGATCATCGGTATATCACCATGAGAGTCTCCCCACTCCCTGAACATTCTCGCGGCCGCCGCGGAGTGAGAAGAAGACCCCCGTCCCAGGGGTGGGTCCTCAGACAACTGGACCCACAACTCCTGTCCGCCGCTGCTCAGGCCGCGGCTTGGCCAGCACCACCGGCCGGACCGCGTGACCTTCAAGCAAAACTTCGGTGGTTCCGGGAAACGTTGGTCAAGATCTGCGACACGGCGATGACGCGTTCCCGCGGGCCACCGAATCGGAGGTCGGTGTACTGGCGGACGGACGAGATAGCCAATCTACGGATTGAGTGCGTCCGGTCCAGAAACCGGTACACCCGCGCCCGCCGCCGAAAGACCGGCGACGTGGCGGCACGAGCGAGGGCGTACGAGGGCTATCGTGCAACGCACAAAGCCCTACGTGCGTCCATAGCAAAGGCAAAGTCCAGAGCATGGGATGAGCTCCTTGAGACGATCGACGCGGTTCCATGAGGGCGCCCTTACCGACTGGTAATGGGTAAGCTGCGCCCGTGGACTCCGCCGATTACAGAGAGTCTAGACCCCCAGCTCCTGGAAAGAGTAGTGTCCTACCCTCTTCTCTGATGGAAGAGGGGACTGGCCCTTCAGGGAGCCTGAGTTGGACCACTCAGCAGAGTGGTCCAACGATTTGGGGGTCACAGAGGAGGAGCTTCGCCGGGCCGTTCGACGGATGACGCAGAAGAACACCGCTCCCGGTCCCGACGGCGTGCCCGGCAAGGTGCTGGGCTTTGCCTTTGGACAGGGTCCCCTAGGAGACCGCCTCAGGCACATTTTTACGAAGTGTCTGAGGACCAACTGGTTTCCCTCGAAATGGAAAAGGGCCAGACTGATCCTGCTCCGCAAAGGAGGGAGGCCTGCGGACTCGCCGTCCGCGTACCGGCCGATTTGTTTGCTCGACGAGGCAGGCAAGCTTTTAGAGCGTATTATTGCCAATCGTCTCGTCGAGCACTTGTCGCGGATGGGCCCTGACCTGGCCGACTGCCAGTACGGATTCCGTGAGAGACGGTCCACGGTGGACGCCGTGTTCCGCCTTAAGTCCCTCACGGAAGCGTCGGTCAGGCAGGGGGGAGGGCGTTGGCGGTATCACTAGATATCTCCAACGCCTTTAACTCCCTTCCCTGGGATAGCATAGGGTGGGGTCTCAATCATCACAGAGTCTCACCTTATCTGAGTAGGATCCTCGGGGATTACTTCCGCGACAGGGAAATAAAGTACACCGGCCGGTACGGGTCGCCACACCGGAGAGAAATGTACCGCGGGGTTCCGCAGGGGTCGGTTCTTGGTCCCCTCCTGTGAAACCTCGGGTACAATGTGGTGATCCGGGCCGTCCTCCCCAGAGGTCTGGCGGTCATCTGCTATGCAGATGACACGCTAGTTGTGGCCTCTGGGGAGGATTGGAGCAGGACCAAGGCATTGGCCGAGTGCAGCACCAATTGTGTCGTCGGCCGCATTGAGAGGTTGGGGCTCAAAGTGGCCGTCCACAAGACGGAGGCCATGTGGTTTCATGGCCCCTGTCGTGGACGGCCCGCAGGACTCGACCTCTCTGTAGGTGAGGCGAGAGTCGAGATAGGTACGACGATCAAGTACCTTGGTCTATACCTCGACCCCACGTGGCGCTTCGGCGAGCATTTCGCTCGCCTGGCCCCCAGAGTTCGGAAGGTGGCTAACGCGTTAGCGCGTATCCAACCGAACCTAGGTGGCCCGAAGACGAAGGTCCGCCGTCTGTACGGGAACGTGGTCCACTCGGTGGCCTTATATGGCGCACCGTTGTGGGCGGAAGCCGCGATGAGGGCGGGGGCGCGGAGCAGCTTTGGCCAACTCTGCGCTGCCCAGAGATTAGCGGCCCTCAGGGTGATCAGCGGCTTCCGAACAGTGGCCACGGAGACGACGGGCGTACTGGCGGGGATGCCTCCTTTGGCCCTCCTTGCAGGCATGTACTCGGCGAAGTATTCTCGCCGGGTCGAGCTACTGCACCAGGAGGGTCTCGCAATCAACACCTTGCAGGAGACCCTCGCCATGTCGAAGCGCCACGCCCGGCGACAACTGCTTTTTGGTTGGGGGCAGTTTCTAGACGAGCCTCGTGCGGCCGCCCAGAAAGTCGTCGGGATACTCCGACCACACCTAGAGGTGTGGTTGGAGCACGGAGTAGGTCGCCTCACCTACCGGACGACGCAGGTGCTAACCGGGCATGGTTGCTTCGGTGAGTACCTGTGTCGAATAGGACGCGATCCGACGACACGTTGTTATAAGTGCGGGGCGGCCAGGGATACGCCGAAGCACACCGTAGGAGAATGTCCGCGATGGGCTCGGGAACGTCAGGACCTGATCGTCGTAATAGAGAATAACCTCTCCCTGGAGGGCCTTTTGCGGGCACTCGTCTCCAGGGAGAGAGAAGTATGGCAGTCGGTAGTCTTTTTTTGCTCCCGCGTAATGGAGCAGAAGGAGGACGCCGAGAGAGAGAGGGAGAGACTGCCTCTCCCACTACGGAGACCCCGAGGGCGCGCGCGAGCGGGCGACAGGGTCGTCCTGCACGCGGTCCCAGGATGGGGCGACATGACGGCGTGTGTTCCGTTGTGTCGCCAAAGTTAGGAAAGCGAAGGAGGGAGACGTGAGTGTTCCCTCCGAAGAGAAGAGCCGAAAGGCAGCCCAAGGGAGGGTCCCGGCAGAGTCCTGAACAAGGGGTTCCGGGTCCCTCCTTGTCATGAGCACGGTAGGCACACCGTGGTGGTTTTACTGGGTATACCCCTCCCTCTTGCGGGAAGGAGGGGGGAATCCCACATAACCCTGCCCCTCTCCCCAAGGAGTCAGGGTATCCGTAACGGATTTCCACCACGTACAAAAAAAAAAAATGGCACGGAAAGCCGGAGATTCCAGGTTCGACTCCTGGCCGAGGAGTGACTAACGGTAAGTGATTAACGGTATTAATCGCGGTTTAACGTGGTTTTATAGTTGCTCGTGGATCGTTTCTAGTTAAACATAGTTTGTTTGCGGTTAAACATGGTTCGTTTATGGTTGAACGTGGTTCGTTTATGGTTAAACATGGTTTGTTCATGGTTCGATTATGGTTAAACATGGTTCTCGGTTTGGGGGTCGGGGGGACAGCCCCGGCCTTCAAGGGCAGAGCTGACTGCCACCAAGCGCGTCCAGGTTGCGGATAGGGGAACGGCCTCAAGTACTGAGGTTAGCTGCAAAGAACCCTTTCGGGGGGAATAAGCAGTCGCTGACAAACAGCGGTGGATACTGAGGGTGGGGTGGTTGTTCCTGTGGGAAGGGAGCGGCCTATAAAGTGCTCCATTAAACCTGATGAAGTATCCACGTCAAAGGCGAATGAGTGCCGCCTTAAAAGCGCTCCAACCCTCGGGCAGATCAAGCTCGTTAGGTTTTGTTTACCAACCGATCTAGGTAAAGGAAAACACCGATGTAAAACCAAATGAGTAGAAACATAATGATGGACAGCAAGACGAAGAAGGACTTACCGCCCCAGAGTGATCGGACACTCAGGGGCCGGCACGGTGGGAGTACTGTCCCTGCTCCCGCCGCGTCGTCATCTAGCAAAGGGCAGAAGGAGGGGTTGACGGCGGGCCTCTCTGGACATTCTGCTACCGCCGCTACAGAGAAGCCACGCGATAAGAGGAAGGCCGACAAAAGTCTTGAGTCGGCTCTTTAAGAGGGTACGGGGGCGGCCGATTGCTCCCTCGCTACGATGGGCATCGGCGCCCTCTTTGATCATGTAGCTGACTCCCTGGAGGAACTTTGGGAGCGACTTTGTCGTCGCTCCAAAATGTCCAGGGAGGAGAAAGCGGGCAGGTTGAGGGAGCTCCGGGAAAAGATCATATCAAGTCTCCTGGAGCTACAAACCCGATTCACCCCTCTCCGTGAGTCTGTTGACAACATCGAGAGGGGTGTCGCCAACATGGCCGATGTAGTAGAAAAAGTTGCTCGGGGGCAGGTGGCTTCTGAGCGAAAAATTACGGAAGCCATCCTCCAGGTCAGTGAGGATATTGATGAGGTTAATATCTCTACCCTCGCTGACATGAAGGAAATTAAGAAGGATGTTGTGGAGGCGCGTGCGGCGATCGAGGAGGTCCATAATGAGGCCTCCCGGTCGCTTCACGCGCTTCACGAAAGCATGGAGATGTCGGTGCGTGCTTTTGCCGACGTCTCCATGCCGAGGCCGGAAGGAGCTACGTGCTCCACTCCAGTCAGGGGGGGGGGATCGGATTCCACCCTCTTGGCTGGAAGAGATCGAGAGGGTGGTGCGATCCACTGTCTCGAGAGAGCTCCAAAAACTTTTGGAGCGGGGTCTCCCGAGGCAGCCCCCCCCTGTTAGTGGGTCTCCGATTCCCCCGTCTGTTCCGATTAGGGCACAGGCGGAGGAAAAGGTGAAGAGAAAGAAGAAGAGAAAAAAGAAGAAGAAGGCGATTAACGCCACCAAGGCGCCTGCGATGGGCGGGGGGACGGCCGCTGGGGCCGTTCGAGGGGAGTCTTCCCTTCCGTTGCCCTCGCCCTCGTCAAAACAGAGGCCGCCTTGCGGGATTCTCCCGCGTACCGAGGCGGTCACCTTGCGTCTTGAGGGTGAAGGCATGTCGTATGCCCAAGTCCTTCGGGACGCGAGGGGCAAGGTGGACCCTAGGTTGGCGAGCGTCTCCAGGGTCCGACGGACCTTGGAGGGGTATCTTTTACTGGAGGTGGGAGAGAAGGACCGCAAATCCAAGGCGGACCTCCTCGCCTCCAGGCTGAGAGAAGTTCTCCCCGAAGGAGTTAAAGTGGCTTGTCCATCCCGGAACGTGGAGATTCTAGTTTCGGGATTGGACGAGTTTACCACAGAGGACGATCTCCGCCAGGAGTTTGAGGCAGAGTTCGGTGGCGGGAGCGGCGTTAGGGTTGTATCCCTGCGTCGCTCCCAGCCATCGGGTGGAGTCGCCTTGGTTCGCTGCTCATCTGAGGCGGCGGCCAAGGCGATTAAAGTAGGCAAATTGCCGGTTGGCTGGGTGATGGCGAGAGTGCGTGCACTCCGCCCCCGCCCCCTGCAGTGCTACAGGTGTTTTCAGCCTGGGCACTGCAGGGCTTTGTGCTCCAGTCAGGTCGACCGCAGTGATCTCTGTTATCGCTGTGGCCGGCCGGGGCACGGAGCGGCCAATTGTACAGAGGATGAGAGGTGTCCCCTTTGTGAGGAGTTGGGTCGGGAGTCTTCCCACCGAATGGGTGGGGCCCGGTGCTCGGCCATCGGCCGGGGGGCTCCCGTGCTCATTATTAACCCTTTTTGACGAGGGTAGGGAGAACGCGGATTTCCCCGGCTCCGATATAAGATCCAGGGAGCCGCTCCTCCGTATGTCTGGTGCGCAAGCACCAGATATAATAGAGGGTGGCGCCTGGTTTCTTTTTGAGTCCAGGCGGTGTTAGATGGAGGCCCGGTCCCCGTTGTTTTGAGCTCTGGGCTCAACTCAGCGGTGACTGGGCGCAGTGTGGAAGGAAGACCTCCCTTTTGTCTCGCGTTTCGAGACAATAGGGAGGTCAATATTACTATCATGGAGTCAAGTCCGCTTCGGCGTTTGACTTGAAGCCGAGAGGGGTTTCCCCCTCATTGCACTCGGCCTGCAGATGGCGGGGGAGGGGCTGTGTCCCCCTTCCCCCTAATCGTGGAGGAGCTTTGCTCCTCCATTTAAAGGTATAGGGGGCGAAAGTCCCCATGCCTATTGGGCTGCCTCTGGGTTGTTCTAAATTGAGGTACCGGGGCAGCCCTAAAAAGGCGGAAGGTGGACACCGCAGGGGTTTTAGTGGGTATTCCTCATCGGGGCGCGCTCTGGTTGGGTGAGTCCCACACTACCCTGGCCCACACCTACTCTGGGTCAGAGTGTGCGTAAATGCATTTCCCCTGCGTAAANGTGTCGAATCGTACGGTGGCGAATACTTTCGTGTCGAATCGTACGGTGGCGAATACTTTCGTGTCGAATCGTACGGTGGCGAATACTTTCGTGTCGAATAATTTCGTGTCGAATCGTACGGTGTCGAATAATTTCGTGTCGAATCGTACGGTGTCGAATAATTTGATTTCGAATAAATCTGTGTCCAATAATTTTGTGTCCAATAATTTGGTGTCAAATCGATCGGTGTCGAATCGTACTGTGGTCAATAGAGTATCACCCCGCTTATCGTTGTACGGACTTAGAGCAAGTTTCGATTCGGACACAGCATCTTGATGCGACATGGTTGTACTTTTTAGTGTCATGCGCACTGTGGTAGAAAATAATCGCAGAGCTGGNGCTAAGAAAATAGACCATGTACAACCGTAGCAGTCTGATAGAAGTTCATCATCCTTCAGGACGTGAGAAAAGACACACAGATTCTACATACATNTAACGAATGTTTTTGTTAACTTCGTGTAACTTTGATCGTATACACGACTGTCGACACATCTTTTCGATTTCATTATTCAAACATTGTTTGTAATCGTCAAACATTAATGTTCTTGCTACGACGCTACTCTTTACACCCTTGGCCTTTTTGGTGTCTTTCTTTCCATCTACCATTAATGCATACATTTTTGCTCTAAGTCCGACGAATTCAGTCATTATCATTCGTTATTTTTATCCTTTATCAATCCTGGAACTTTTTTGTTGACGCGTGGCATACTATACACATTATCAATCGGATAATCACTTGTGTCAAATCGAGCAANGTCACGTTTCATGATATCGTACACGTTCTCGCATTCGATAAAATAAATAAGACTGTCTGTGTCGGTGTACATAATTTTACATTTTTCTTGGTACCATAGAGGTGCCACATAATTATATAATAATGGTGCAATTCTTACAAACACGTCTTAGATATGTCTAATATACACACATTCCTACGTAAATCGGTTTGTTGAATTTTACTTCGAGTTTACGCAATTCAACCGCAATAACATTTTCAGAAAAAACACTTCGACTATGAAAAGTTGGTCGGGAGATTAATGCTTCCGCACCATATCTTCCATCCCACTTTGTTACAAGTTTTATGTCTACATGGTTTCATACATTTTCCATAGTTTTGCCAAAAACTGCGTATTTATCAATTTGTACAAAGTTTTCTCAAAGTCGTTGGTAGCAAGCGTTCAAAATTGTGTATTTAATTCGATGTAACTGCGGAGCCGCGGAGATTGCGCGAACTGTAATATGCGGTGAATCTTTGTAATACGAAGATCGTGTCGCACACATTGTTGCAGGGCACGTTAGTGAATAATATAACGCGATTTATCGTGTAGTGTTGCGAGTAGCTTCTCCTGTCGCATGCTAGTTTATTGCGCGTCGGGCAGAACGGCAGGTCAGCGTGCGCGTTATGCAGTTCGCGAGGATACTCGAGGTTGACTTCAAAGATGTAACCGATATCTGAGGTTGCTGTCACAGATATCACGTCGACACTCTAGATGTTGTCCACCCATTGGAATGCGGCATACGATAATGGCTGACACATTGCCCAGCCGTACAAGTTATTTATATTAAAGTACATGAGATACGACGTTTGTTTTGATGAGTCGTATGTCCGCATGTACTCGTTATTCGCGTGCGCATATCTTGCGCTGCACTGGCTAAGACCACCGCGTATACTCCGTTTGATAAACATAACCATATCAACATCTGTGAGCAGGTCGAACGTTATGCCTGTATGTTTTAGCATAGCGTCCCACGTGTAACCGGGTAAAGTATAATAATGCGCGGAATCTAATCCGTAACTTTGAATACAACTTTCTCGAAAATTCTCAAATATATATCGACCAATAATAAAACATCAGTCTTTAAATATAAATTGCTGTAATCACCTAACGTACGTATAGAGAATCGTTGCCAGATGTTTACAGCGTGTGCATATTCACTCTCAGATATCGTTTCACCGGTCAGAAAACTGTAAAATGACTCGCGCTGTGGTAAACGCTGCTCCCGCAACTTGTCGACACAGTCTACGTATTCGTATGGAAAGACCCCTTT